CCCTGAACCCTCAAACCCTCAAACCCTAAACCCTAAACCCTAAACCCTAAACCCTAAACCCTAAACCCTAAACCCTAAACCCTAAACCCTAAAACCCTAAACCCTAAACCCCAAACCCCTAAACCCTGAAGCCGTAAACCGCTTGGCTTTAGCCTTCGAACCTGTGTCTTCCAGGCGCCGAAGCGTTAGGGCCGCTAGGGTTTAGGGTGTAAGGTAGGGAGCGGGTTAAGGGTTTAGGGTATCCCCTTGTAGTCCCTGTATAATGATATCATAATAAACACACTATACGATGATATACCCTAACGCCCCCATTGAAATTATCGAGGAACCTATGTTAGGAAAGCTGCCCCAAGAATTGTTGGGTTTTAGGAACACGTTCCTCGCCTCCCGCCTGCCACTGCTGGGGGGCAAACAGCAGCCCTTGCTTATCTCGCCCCTCGGAAGGCAAAACAAGTTTTGCATTTGGGGTTATGGTTAGTTTAGGGTTCAGGGTTTCGGGTGTTATGAGTGTTCAGGGTTTACGGGTTAAAAAGGTTTAGGGTGTGTGGGATCGGAGAAGAGCCTTTGCCTCAAGGGCTGATCAGGGTTGTGGCGGGCCTTGGGCACAGCTGTCCTGACGAACGTGCTTTGAATGAACGTCTCGAAACTGAGGTGCCGTTTTTGAAACACTCCTGACTTAGCATTAACATCACCCTGAAAACTTCGAGTGCGGCAATATCAACCCCAAGAACAAAACCCAAACCCCAACTCCCTAACCCCTACAGAAGTCCTGCTAGCTGAAGCTCGTGCTTTTGTCAGTGGAGGGCATAAACTCAGATGACAGTCTACGCGTCCATAAACACACCCAAAGTGGCAAAAGACTGAGAAATTGTAGTTATGCCACCGTTCTGGTCAAGGGCTCCCGACGGTAGCAAGCACGCTGTACAACGCAGTGGCTAAGCAAGACTGCATTACACCACTAAACATATGGTATGACGTTCTCTACCGTTGCTTCACCTACAAGCCACTCGGTAGCAACGCAAGCAAGCACTTTGCACACGAATGCTCGTTTGACAGGCTGGAGTTAGGGCTCAAGGCTTGGGATTTCGGGCCTGAGAGGTTTTAAGATCAAGTCAATAGGGTTTAGGGTTTAGGGTTTGGGGTTTAGGGTTTAGGGTTTAGGGTTTGCAGCAGGAAACCTCCAAGCCCGAAACCTGCTTCTAGACACATAGCAGCCTGGATCCTTGGACTCAATCCTAAGCCAATCCTAAACCCGAAACCCTAATCTCTGAGCCTAAACCGGTAAACCCTAAACCCTGAGCCCTAAACGCTAGACCCTGATGACGAGCCGAGGACCATTTTCGACAAGAGGTTGCATTTGGACAACCCGGAGCTGGGGAGGGGCGGGGGCTTAGGGTTTAGACGGTTTAGGGTTTAGTGTTTAGGGTTTCGACGGTTTAGGGTTAAGGGTTTGTATAGACGGTTTAGGATTTAGGGTTTAGTGAGGGTTTACGGTTTAGGGTTCAGGGTTTAAGCTCTTAGGGTTGGCGCCCTGGTTTCTGGCATGTTCATAGTTAAGGGGCCTTAATAATTACCAATACTATTTTGGGTTTTCCTTGTTATAATTATAGTACACTGGACCCCAAAACCCCATTCTAATTATTAAGGCCCCTGCATTAGCCCAGGTGTAAACGGCTGTTGGAGTTCAGGGTTTTGTTTTGGTTTAGGCAGGGTTCGGGGCTTGCGGTTTAGGGAGTTTAGGGTTTAGGGTTCCAGTTTTCCGGCTTAGGGTTTAGGGTTCCAGCTTAGGTTTTAGGGTTTTTAGGGTTCCCAGTTTAGGGTTTCGGGGGCCTCCAGGTTACTTCCAGGACTAGGCGCCTTGCAAGGGTGGGTTGTTGCCCGGAGGATGGTGAGAGAAGAGAGTTGCTTGGTTTGAGCCCTCAACGCTTTGTTTAAGTCATGGGTTTAGGGTTTAAGGTTTAGGGTTTAGGGCTTAGGGTTGAAGGTTTAGGGTTTAGGGTTCAAGGCTTACGGTTTAGGGTTTAGGTTTAATCCTAAACCGTAACCCTGTAGAGACTAGCCCACAAAACCTTCATCCTAAACCCCAAACCATTAGGTCAAAAATGCCCGTATCACCCGACTGTGAACCGACTTGTTAGGATTTTCCAGGGTCCCAGCAGGAGTTTCGTGCTGCCATCTCGAATATCCTGGACTAGGCACCTGTACTCAAGCCGGCCCTAAACTCTTAACGCGAATTCGTAGGCCTAAAGCCGTATAAGACAGCACACAACCCGTGAAACACCCCTAACGCCTTATCAAGAAAGATCTCGACCACGCGCTTGTTCATCAGCCGACGCTCAAGAACTTGCTAAGTCTGAAGGGTTCAGTGTTCATGGACAGGTGTAGTTTCTCTTTGGCAAGTGTTAAGGTGTAGGGTTGAAGGTTTGGGCTTGCAAAGCTTCAACAACCCTGAAGTTTAGGGGTTTAGGGTTTGGGCAAGTTTAGGGTTAGAGTTTGTAGAACTCTTTTCTTAAAGAGAGCCCTCTTATAGAACTCCACAGTACCCTTGACTCTTATGGAACCCCATAGTACCCTTGAAGGGAGCCCTCTTATAGAACACCATAATTGCCCTTCAGGGTAGACCTCTTATAGAACCCCATAGTACCCTTAAAGGGAGCTCTATTGCAGAACCCCATGCTACCCTAAACCTAAACCCTAAACCCTAAACCCTAAACCCTACACCCTAAACCCTAAACGTTTAAAGGAGCAGTGGGCACTTCCTTGGGCTGGCGTCACCGGCACCCTGACCCTTTGCTTCCTTACGAAGTGGCTCCTAGGTTCTCCTCAGAAGCCGTTTTAGGGTTTAGGGGTTTAGGGTTTAGGGGTTTAGGGTTTAGGGGTTTAGGGTTTAGGGGTTCAGGGTTTAGGGTTTAGGGGTTTCTGGTTTAGGGTTTAGGGTTTAGGGGTTTCGGGGTTTAGGGGTTAGGGTCTAGGGGTGTAGGGTTGCTTTAAACTACCAAAACCTACTTTTTTGTGCAGGGTCCTCTGTAAAGTCTATCATTCACAAGAGCCGAGAGGAAAGCAGGGCTATGATAGGTCGGGCTAAGGTTTTCGGATTCGGGGTTAGGGGTCAGGGTTAATATAGGGGCCTCAACAATTACCTATGCTATTTTGGGGTTTCCTTATCATATTTATAGTATAATATACCCCAAAACACTCTTCTAATTATTAAGGCTTCTACAGAAGTAAGCGTTCTGTTCTGCTTTGGGCTCAAGGGGCGTTCTACGCTCTTGGCCTTTCGAAGCTATGATGGTTTCGGGCTGCTGGAATCAAACCCTAAACCTTAATCCCTAAACCCTAAACTTTATAAACCCTAAGCCCTAAACCCTAAACCTTAAACCCGAAACCCTTATCTGAAAGCCCTGGATTTTCCGCCCCTGCCTCAAGCCTTGAAGCACAAACCCTAAAAACTCCGATGGAAGACGATGAAAACTGAATCCCGCAGCCCTGGAGCCATGAAGATTGCCATGAGAGTTTAGGGTTTAGGGTTTAGGGTTTAGGGCTTAGAGTTTAGGGTTTAGGGGATAGGGTTTTGGGCTTCGGGTTTAGGGTTTGGCATTGTTGAGGTGCTTTTTTGTCGTCTTCTTGTCATTTGCGTTCTTATGCAGACAGGTGCTTTTAGTTTTGCAAGGATTTCGTTTCTGGAACGGGGGGTCCCTCAGGAAGGGAAGTTGGAGCTTCTGGATGTTGCCATGCCTGGTTTGGAGTGACCCGGGTTTGTTGGGGAATGGGACTGAGATTTTATAGTAAACCCCAGAAAGTTGGAGCATGGATTTAGGATGAGTAGTGCTGGGATCCACTCATACTTTACCTGAAGGGCATGAGAATCTGGCTTCTACTTGAGGCTTATTTACCACCACAACATCCCACGGCTTTTCTGTCCAGCGGGCTTCAGATTTCGCGAGGGCAGTACCACAAACACAGGTCTCTCTCATAGCTTGGGTTCACAAGCAGCGGCTTTTGTTTTTTGTGTTGGAACTTCCATGTTAGCACTGCCACTCTGCTGACTGGCGAGTCCCGGGATGTAGCAGGGGTTCAGGTTTAGGGTTTAGGGTTCAGGGTTTAAGGTTTAGGGTTTAGGGGTTATAGGCCAAGTTGCTTGTGTTTCTTGATTGCGGTTCACACCGGAGAAGGCAAGGTCGCTGCCGAGAAAGCAAAGACCACGGCCCCAATCGCTAGACTCTACCCCAAGCCCTAAACCCTAAACCTTTAACCCTAAACCCTATACCCCAAGCCCTAAACCCTAAACCCTTAACCCTAAAACCTACACCCCAAGCCCTAAACCCAAAACCCTTAACCCTAAACCCTATACCCCAAGCCCTAAACCCTGAACCATTAAGCCTAAACCCTATACCCCAAGCCCTCAACCCTAAACCCTTAACCCTAAACCTTACACCCCTTAACCCTAAACCCGATACCCCAAGCCCTGAACCCTAAAGCCTTAACCCTAAACCCTACACCTCAAGCCCTGAGCCCTAAACCGTTAAC